GGGACCCGGCGGGCGAGCAGCACCACGTGCTGTACTTCCCCGGCGACGTGCAGGTGAGGCGCCGCGAGGCCAGGGGCGGCCAGACCGGGCACCGTGCCCGCCTCTGACTTGGCTTCGCAGGGACACTGGGCAGGGCTCAGCGGCCATCCAGGGGTCTAGGGCGCGCTCAGTGTTGAAGCGCCGACTGACTTAGAAACAAACGCCGCGCTACAAACGACGCCTACGTGTAGTGACCCTAAGATAAGGTGGGTGGTGGTGCGAAACAAGGGCAGTAACTGCGAAGTGTCAGTGTTTCGGTGCTCACCAAAATTAGGCTGTTACCTTTGTTTTCGGTGTTGTACTCTTATTTTGTAGCTGTAGGCAATACTGAGAATCCCACTGCGTACCCCTCCAGCTTTTTATTTTTTCAGAGTCTCTCTAAATTGCCCAGGTTGGCCACCAGACTTGCCTCAGCCTCCTCCTGCCTCAGCCTTCCAAAGAGCTAGGATTATAGGCAAACATGCAAAGACCCAGTGTAGCATATCTTGATTATTAATTTTATAGCTCTAGGCAAATATCTGGTTATGTTCTGCAACCTGAGTTTTATTTTAAAACTGTTATGAAATGTTAGCCATTAGCCACATGGGGCCAAATTCATTAAAATTTAAAATCCAATTTCTCATCATAATAGACTGCCTGAGTTTGAACCCCTTTTCTGTGCTTTTTAGCTATGAAATTTCAGTTATTAAATCTCTGTATTCCACTTAGCTGTAAAATGGAATAATTTATAGGGAATCAGTTGAGCTTAAACGTGTGAATACCTGATGAGATCTGGTCACTTACATCTTTTTGGAAACTTTAAAAATTATTAGAGTACCCTAGTGTCCTGTCTTCCCGTTTCTTTTCAGTTGTTTAGCAGCACTTTCTGTTTCATGGCTTTACATACTACCTGTATCCTGAATAGTCCTTGACACTTGTGTATCTAGCCTAGACACATTCGTGAATTTTACACTCACCAACTATATGCACAGTCATTTCCTTTTGGGCATTTGGAAGATAATCTCAAACCTAAAATCTTCTGGATATTTTCCCTCCTCAGTCTCCTCATCCCAGTTAAAGAAGACATTCTTATTCAAGGTGGTGGTTCGCATTACTTTAGAGCTCTCTTTCATACCTCTTATTCATCAATAAGTCCAAGGCTCTGCCTCTGTATCTGCAGTGATCACAAGATAGCTGGCCCTCTTGTTGTTCAGACACATCATGCATACTTCACTCAGCAGCTCTGTGCATCCTGACCAGAGCACTTCCTGTGTGTATGGGCGTGTTTATTATCCTCGGGTCTGCTTCAAAGTGCTTCTCAACAGGGCCTTTCCTGGCCATCCTATTTAATAATCACACAGGTACACAGCTTCCCTATCAGCTTTTCTTTATTCTTACCGAGTTTATTTACCTTATCAGTTACTTTTCATTTTGGCTCTTGTCTGCCTTTTACACTAACATGTAAGTTTGTTCACTGGTAAGTTTGTTCACTGATGTGTCTGTGATGCTTGCTTAGTGACTGACATGTTCTAGGTATTCAGTAGGTAACCTCTTGGATAAGTAAATATATATAAGCCCATTCTTTGTAGGTTGGCCAAAGGTAGTAACGTGAATTGCAGAACCAACTTTGGCTGCCTCTTAGCAAGTCCTGTGGGAATGTTGGTGTCTCTTTTCAGAATGTGGAAGTGCTTACCCATTGTTCTCAGATCTAGGCTTTGACACAGCAGTAACAATCCCATTTTTTCACTTTAGTTCACATAGTTCCTTCGTATTAGCTGGGGCTAATAAAGGGAAATACCATTTAGATTTATGTCACCTATAGAGTGAACTGAGAGGCATAAAATCTAGGTTCATTTTGATTACATAACTGTATAATACAAATAACTATATTTTCTAGGACCTTGGGTTCCTTAACTATAAAAGGAATTTAGGTAAGTCCTTACCTAAAGTGCCCATGATTTTATGTTAATTGTGTGTATCATAAGTCAATATGTAGAAAGTAATAGCAAAATCAATAGAAAGTCAGACGGTCTCAGAATAAACATTTTTAAATATATACATCAAGCTACTAATATTGATGAAGTACAGTAGGAAAATGTCAAGAGGACATGAACAAAATACAATGAAAACTGCCAGTAAACAGAAAAATGTTCAACCTAATTAGGAATCAAAGCATGCAAAGTAAATAAATAAGGCCATTTTATTATGGTAGCAAAAATTGTTTAAAAATTAATGCTGGTAACCACTAAGAATAGGTGAGAATGTAGAAAAATAACACTTCTGTATACTTGCAATTAAAGTGCCTAAAAATTAGGACCTAGATGTGTTCATGGAATCATAACCTGTCACGTTTTTAAATTCAAGCTATGTATATAAGCTTGTTGCTTTTGGGGAGAGAAATAATGTTCTCTTGTATATGTAATTATATATGTAAACTAGAGAAAATGGGACTGTTAGATACCAACATTTTAATGTTTATTTCTGATTAGTAACTTATGGGGGGGGTTCTGTCTTCATACCATAGTATATAGATAAAATTTTTGTACTACATTTATCTTTTTAATTTTTTAGGGAAAAATATGCATTTGCTTGAAATTCAGATAAGGCTATACACACTGAAGAGTAGGTCTCGCCTCCTTCTCTCCAGTCACCCATTTCCCTTCTTCAAGGCTGCTACCACTGTTACGTGCACCTGCACACATACACACACCCTTCCAGAGATATTCTGTGCTTAGGCAAGTTTTAAAAAACACAAATGGCAGCAGAGTGACAGTATTTCTTTCACACACACTCTACTCAACCCACCAGCAAATCTTGGTGACTCTAATCCAAGTATTCTTCGAATGGATCACTGCTCAGCATCTCTATTCCAATTACAGTCTGTGTACACTTGTGGAGGAATTTCAGTAGCCTCTCACTGCTTCAGCTATTTTCCTTTCACTTATAGGAGGAGCCAAAGCAATCCTTTCAAAATAGCAGTTAAATCAGCCCTTTGCTCCAGACCCTTTCAGAGCCAAAGCCAAAGCTGCCCCTCCTTCCCATTAAACTGTCTTTATTCTTGGTCCTTGTGATCACATTTGTTCTTGCCTGTGGAGTCACCCTGGCCTTTTGTCCCATGTGCCTGCATGCTTCCACTTGAGACCTTTTGCAGCTGTGGCTCTACCGAGCTGTCCACATGGCTCCCTCCCTCAGTTACCCCTGGATTCTCCTGTATTTAAAAACCCTCTCCTGACTGTTCTGTTATTAATTGCCCACCCTCTTTAAAACCTCATACTCCTTTTCCCTTCTTTAATTTCCAGTACACTTACACCATGAAACATATCTCATCCTGCCCAGTATGGTACCACTAGCCCCACTTGTGGCTGTTAACCACTTGATATCTTTGAGGAAATACACTTTTCACTTGAGTTTCAGTTAACTTAAATTTTAAAAGTGATAATTCAGTTCCTAGACATTGTCTAAGTATATTTGGAACAACTTGAGTATGTGAATCTACTTTTTCAACCATAAATTTTATGGAATCTAAATTCAGATTCCATAAAAATTTAGCATCCTAATTGAGGTGTGCTGGAAGTGCAAAATGCTCACTGGTTTTCAGACTTAGTAAAAGCAAAAGAAGTAATAATCCCCTAGTAAGTGTGTGTGTGCATGTGTTTTGCTGTAATTGAATCTAGGGGCTTGTACATGCCAGGCAAACATTGTAGCACCAAGCATCATCCCTGTTCCTTTTTGATTCAGACAGGTTCTCGATTATTAGTAGGCCTTGAGTTTACCATCCTCCTGCTTCTGCCTCTTGAATAGCTGAGATTACAGATGTGCACCACCACACCTGAGTCTCAGTATTTTTTTTATATTGATGTTACATTGATAATAATTGATGTGTTAGTAAAATGTTACTAAAATTAATTTCTTTTTACATTTTTAATGGTTACTGGAAAGTGTTCTGTATGGCTTCCATCATATTTCAGTTGGCTGGTGCTGCCCTCCATCTGCTTAAGAGGTTATTTCTGCATTAGAGCATGAGCTGCATGTGGGCAAGGATTTAGTTCATTCTGTTCCCTGCCCAGTTAGTAGTGTCCAGTGAATTTCACAAAATGAATAAATTTCAATGAAAAGAAGCTATTATGAATAAAAATTAAAAGTAAAACAAGATGCATATATACAGCATAAATTTAATATGTATAGAATGCTTTATAAATCAGTAAGATCCACATACAAAAAGGCAAAGCATATGAACAGGCAAGAAGGTCGTTAATATATATATGAATAAAATTTCAGCTTGATTCCAATTTTCAATTGATTCAAATTTAAATAGTTATCCTGTGCCCATGAAATTTAACAAAGAAAGAAATATGTATCTCTGTGGAAGCCAGTTTTGCAGCCTATATCACCAACCTTAAATTAGGAATATTTTTAATCTAGTTTTTTCATATCTAGGAATTTATTTTTAAGAATGTAATTATGGGGCCAGGGATTTAGCTCAGTGGTTCGGTGGCCTGCCTTGCAAGCACAAGGACCCACGTTCAATCCCAGGTACCAAAAATAAAAATTAAAAAATGTAATTATGGATAGGAACAAACTTTTTTTCCAATGAGTGTTATGGCAGGTTTTTCACAATAACAGAATCGAATCAGATGGCATTCAGATTACTTGAGGAATCCAGGTAGCAGTGCAGGGTGGCAGCTCATTAAAGGGGAAACATTTCAAATTTCTACCTTGGTCAGAAGTACCCGTAAAGGAAAAAATAGAAACAAAGTAAATACTGAAGGGTGAAGGGGGTGAAGAGAGGGCAGGGTATGAGGAAAAAATAAGAACCAAGACATATCATGTAAAGGTACAAGATCCCAATGATAACTGTATTGTTTGCTTTAAATGTACCAGTAAACTTAATGGGGAAAAAAAGGACACTCATGGGCAGGGTGTGGTGGCACATGCCTGTAATCCCAGCACTCCGGGATTTAAGGCAGGAGGATCACTGCAAGTTCAAAGCCAGCTTGGGCTATGAAGTATGTTCAAGGCCATCCTGCAGTACAAAGGGAGACCCTGTCTCAAAAATGGACTAATGGAAGAGCATATCTAGAATTGCTGAAGAAGTGTTTTGTTCAACATCTTATAAACAGAGTCAGGTGCAGCACACACTTGTGATCTGGCTTTTTGGGAGGCTTATGCAGGAGGATTGCAAGTTTAAGGCCAGCCTGGGCAACTTAGCAAAACTCTAACTCAAAATTAAAAGGGGAGCCAGGCATGGTAACACACACCTGTAATCCCAGTACTCAGGAGGCTGAGGCAGGAGGATCGCCAGAGTTCAAGGCCCACCTGGGCTGCATATGGAGCTCAAAGACAGCTTGAATTACAGAGTGAGACCTTTCTCAAAAAGAAAAAAAAAAAAAAGATGGGGATGTAGCTCAGTACTCCTGATTTCTATCTCCAATACCACAAAAGAAAAAAAAACACACCTTATAACCAGCAAGTAATGACAGATTCAGTTTGCATTTCTAGTACATTAACCATAGGTCATTATAACTGTTTAAATCCCTCACAGTAAAAATGGGAAACTTTTGTGGAAATGAGTTTATGTACCTAAGGCTGACTTCATCTTTCTTATCTTTCAGAATTACCATGAGGTAATGACTCATCATCCTGAGAATTATCAGTGGGAAAACTGGAGCCTAGAAAACGTTGCCACCATTCTAGCCCAGCGGTTTCCCGATAGCTACATCTGGGTGATAAAGTGCTCTCGAATGCATTTGCACAAGTTCAGCTGCTATGACAACTTTGTGAAAAGCAACATGTTTGGTGCCCCAGAGCATAACACTGACTTTGGAGCTTTCAAGCATCTGTATACATTATTAGTCAATGCTTTTAACTTAAGTCAGAATGGTGTGCTATCAAAGAATGGAAATGTTTGGAATAAGGACTCCAAAGCATCTAACAGTAAGTCTGGTTCTCCTTCTGCTAGTAATGGTTGCCAGGGAGAAAAAGAAAGGGCCTGTGAAAAGTTCGACGAGTCTGCGATGAGTTCTTATTCACCATCACTAAATGGTGCATCTTTTACTTTGATTGGATTTAGTAAAGGATGTGTTGTTTTGAACCAGTTGCTTTTTGAATTGAAAGAAGCCAAGAAAGACAAGAACATAGATGCTTTCATTAAGAGCATAAGAAGAATGTATTGGCTGGATGGTGGTCATTCCGGAGGAAGCAATACATGGGTTACATATCCAGAAGTCTTGAAAGAGTTCGCACAAACGGGGATTATTGTTCACACGCATGTAACACCTTACCAAGTACGAGACCCAATGAGATCTTGGATTGGAAAGGAGCATAAGAAATTTGTCCAGCTACTTGAAGATTTTGGTGTGCAGGTGACAAGCCAGATTCATTTTGCAAAGGAAGCTCCTTCTATAGAGAATCACTTCAGGGTTCATGAAGTATTTTGAGATGAGAATATTAATGTACTTGTTCAGAGGAAGAGCAGAAGCACCTGTTACAAGTTCAGATAATGAGGTGTATGACAGAATTCCTAGATGGAGTGTCAGATTAGGGTCTGGGGAAAGCACACATTCCTAAACTGTGAGTGTAATGTGAATGTGAGCAGTTTGCAATTTGGAGTGGACTAGAATTAACAGTTCATTTGAAATCTAAAATGGTTTGTGATAATCCTATAAGGAGATAAAAGACCCTTAAAAATGAAAGTTAACAATATAGTACTTTTTAAAGGCAACTAAAATCATTGGAAATAATTGATTTTCTGAGTTATATTTAACAGGGGTGAATTATGAAAACATTTAGCTGTGTTGGCGCCCCAAACAAATGGAAACACTTCATTTCTCTCAACGGTACCCAGATGTTTTCCAGTATTTTGAAATAACTGTATCCTGCCTTTTTTTCATAAACTCATGGATCTGTGAGTGTGTGTGTGTGTGTGTGTGTGTGTGTGTGTGCGCGCACACGTGCACATGTATGTGTACATGTTTAGTACTAGGGATTGAACTCAGGGCTATACTTGTGCCAGGCAAGCAGCACTATACCACTAAGCTATACCCTCAGCCCTGGTTTCATTCTTAAAGTGTCACCAAGCTATTTTTTTTTTTCCTTGAGAATCAAAATATGTTTGTTTCCAAATGCCCAAGATCATGTAATAGTATAAAATTGGTTTTAAAAATTATTTTACATTTAAGTATCAAGGCTTAATTTTTGAGTTTTTTTAATCCAGTTTTTCCTGAGAATTGTTTAAGTAAAAATATACCGCAGAGCACATTTCATATTTTCACTATATCACTTCTTTGAAAGAAATCAGCTCAGGTAAAATAAATATATAATGTTCTGTTAGTGCTCTATTGCAAAGGAGTCAGATTCCATGGGTCTAAACCATTTTTCCAGCATGATTTTGTCTGCCAAAAGAAAAGAGCTTTGTTTGGCCAAACACAAAATTATGTTGCTGCAAAAAAAGTTACAAGGGAAAGTTTGAAGACAAAGATTTAATTTTTGGTTCAGGAATAGAATTTGCTCAACACTGCTACATGATTTGGGTGAAATTTCCTTTTGCCTTGTTTTCTTGACCTAGATAAATACATCTTGAGAAACTAGTTTCAGCCAACCCTGAAACATAGCTGTGTAATTATCAAAGGGATCTCTTTTTTATACTTTATTAATAATTACTTTGTAGGTCATAAAATAAGCAGGGAAATAACATGCTGCTTTAGGACTGGAAAAATAAGACACAAAAGACTCGTGAGTCTTAATGACCCAGAGGACCTAAATTTATTAAACAATAGAGAATAAAATTTTAACTTCTTGGTTTATTTATCTTAATAACTATAAATGCATTCCAAGTACAGTTTTTTATGTGTTTTTTGTTTTGTTTTGTTTTTTTTGGTACCAGGGATTGAACTCGGGTCCTTGCGCTTGCAAGGCAGGCCACCGAACCTCTGAGCTAAATCCCCAGCTCAAGTACAGTATTCTAAAATATGAGAAGGGATTCTTAACCAGATGCTTAAGAATGAGCATTTAATTCTATAAACTACAGAAAATAGTTTTATATTGTCCCATTTTCTTTAAATACCTGCTGTTTCATTTGAGACCAAAGATTCTCATCACATAACAAAGTCTGCGTGATTGTAACATTTTACAGATAACTTGCCTTTAAGCATAATGATTGGATGGTTTTCTTCATTTTGATAATCCTTGGTTAAGTTCATGTGTATTGAGCTGAGGGCGTAGCTGAAGGGCAGAGTGCCTTCCTAGAGTGCATGAAGCCCTGTATTACATCCGTAGCACTGCCCCCCACCAGTTGACATGTATTTAGGGAAAGTCTTTTATTTCTACAGGATATACTGAAATGATAAGTTAGGATTTTTAACAGAAGAATCAATTTTTAAAATCTAAGCTATTTAAAAATCCGAGTTCTTTAGCCATCCAGTCATGTGAATGCTTTATTATAACTGTTATATGTTGAATGGATATTAGTAATCATGGGTACCTACAACTGCCCTCACATCAAAATGAGACGGTTTAAAAGGAAGAATATTTTCACAATGAAAATATATTCAGGTTGCTCCAATTTCAAGTGGTTTGTTTACTTCAGATAGGTCCTTTCTGTGTCTGTTTTGCACTGTGATTGTGAATGTCAGTGCATCCTCTTGGGTTGTGCCTTCATAATAAGTCAGTTGAAAAAAAGTCATAATAATGTGAAAATTGTTACCGCTGCAGCATGAATGTATAATTGTATTAAAAGTAATCTATAGAAGTGTTTGGATATGCTTTTTATTAAGACTGCTGATCTATAATTGAAAAGCTACTTCAATCTTGTCCATTTTTCTATCTTATTTTCATTAACTTCCATGTTTCTTTTTCTTATTGTTTGTTTTTTGAGACAGGGTCTTGCTAAGTAGTTCAAGGTGGGCTTGAACTGACTGTGTATGTCAGGCTGGCCTCTAACTTGAAGTGATCCTCCTGCCTCAGCCTCCCCAGTGCTGGGATTACAGGGGTGTGCCAACACACCCAGCTACTCTTCCATGTTTTTCCTATGCACTTTAAACATCTCTCCCGTAAAAACACATCTCTTTTAAAATTACTCTAAAAACGGGCATTATATCCATTTCTTCTGTTGGGTTTCCTAGGAAACTAAGTCTCTTAAGTTATTTTCTTTGCTAATCATTTAAAGTATTTGTATTCCTTTATCTCAAGAAACTTGGTTAGAATCTGGTGTGATCCATTTTTCATTTCATTCATGCAGTATCTGAACACCCCCCAAATGCAGGAGGGTCTCGGCCAGTAGTGGCAAACCTGTGGTATGTGTGCTGCAGCCAGCCATTTGTCACTGAAAGATCGAAAAACTTCACCATCACTGGTTTAGGCAATAAGTCCCAGCGTGTTAGTGTGGAAATGTATAATAGACTAAAGTTAACAGTACGTACAAAACAAGGTAGTATACATAAGAAAGCCCTTCTATTGTATCTCACTAGGGGCTTGCCAAGGTCCATCTCTAGATTTTCCCCCATAGCCTCATGCACTCAGGCAGGGCTTTTGAAATGTCACTGGATCTGGGAGTTTACAGCTAAATATGCCATTAGGAGGTGGGTCACGAGTGACATGGAAGGATTTATCTCCCTGGCTGCTATATGAGCAGCTTTCCTCCTCCCAGGCCTAAGCCCTTTTCTGCCTGGGGCAAGCCTACCATGGATTGTAACAGCCAGAATAATCCCGTGTTGCCGGTGTTGGGTATGTTGTCTCATTAAGGAGAAAGTGACTGTGGCCTCTAAAGTTGAGAAACATGCACGAGGGGACGCAATGAAACACTGCTCCCCACAAAGGCTGAGAGGCCACATCACTTCTTACACCAGTTAGTGGTAGTGATCGCCGAGTGACCTAGGATGACCACTCTAGAATTTAGGTGTCTAAAAAGGCACCCAGCACTCATGGTCCACACGCCTGAAGCAAGATGGCCCAATCTGTTAGATCCTCCCGATGACAGCACTGAAGGAAAGACTAACAGCTCTGTTCTATCCACATCTGCCTTCCAACTTCCTGCATTTAGTTTTTTCTGGTCATCATCTTAGGTTCAGCTTCAACGTCTGTTGACTTTACAGGTGAGAGCAGCTTTGTCAGTAGGTTCTGACCACCAATCTGCTTCAAAAGGGTAAAGACTACAAAGTAACCTTTGTTTACTCTTTTGGTCTTTCAAGAAAGTGAAGTTTGAAATTGCTGAACATTCCAATGTAGTCAGGTACCTAGACAGGTATGTCCGTGAAAGGTGAAGTGTGATGCTGCACACATGAGCATTAACAAAAATTCAAATCAAACTGCAGATTCCAGTCTCCCCACCTGTTCATTCAGCATTTTTATAGAGGCAGCCACTATCGCTGGCTTGTGTCACTCAGATGCCTGTGTAAAGAAATGTTTAGCTGCCATGCCTTATCTTACACAGAAAGTAGCAGTTTCAAATCTCATGTAATTACCTTGGAAAAGCTCCATGCCATAATATATACTTCTGCTGTACGCTGGCTATATACTATTCATTTTTTGTATTATACTCTACCACTTAACTCGTTCATTAGTTTTATTTTGAATCTGTGTATCTAGAAAGCAGGGCAGTGAGTTCTGTTGGGAACAAAAACACTTATTTTGTGCATGAGGTCAAGCTCCCAAACTATAGCCAAAGAAAAGCCATGTATGGTCTATTCAGAGGTGTCAGAGATGAGCTGCACACGGGCAGACAAAATGATAATTACTAACGTGTTCACCGAACTCTGATCCATTTCTGTCACACCTGTCTGCACCTGCAATCTGGGTTAGATAACTTCAGATTTCTACCAACAATAAAGGATTTGGAATCCCTGAGAAGCTGCATCTACTATGTATTTCATTTGGCCCTAACCCAGAAGTCAAAAAAGATAAAATAACTTTTATTTTAAAATTGACCCTAATAAAAATAGCAACCAGGGAAATAATTTAAAAACATCCCAAAGTATTCACCTGTAGCTTGCAAGAGGACCTACCTCAGCGCTCTTGGCAAAGAAAATACATTAAATGGGATTAACTAGTAGAGCCATCAGCTACTGGTACGTACCAGCCCTCCATTGTTTCCTGGAGACTTCTGTAGCAACCCTCTGCAGTGGACATTTTACTTGAAGAGGAAAACAAACTTCATAGGTTTTTTAACTTGCCCAAGAGTTCCCATTTTCCTCTCTCACTAACCACAAACATTGAATAAACTATTTGAGGTCCATGTTTTCTGTAGGACTCTGGATTTACCTTTCATTAATTCTTTTACTGTTTAAGGGAAAAACAAGGACATTTTATTAAAAGCTAACTATAATACTGTACAAACTAAGGGAGATTGTATCTTTCCTTCCTGAACTAAAGAAATCATTAAAGATGTTCTTGGTGTAACCTAGGTAGCCAAAGATCAAAACCCGACAATCAGATATAGCTATTAACTCCTTTTCTGACAGATTTTTTGCTTCTGTTGATCTCAATTTCAGTTAATCTCTTTCCAAAGACACCTAGGAAAGTAAGAATTTTTAGTATAGTCCTTGTTTATAAATGGATTATCTTCAATAGAGCATATGATTTCCTTCATAATTACAGTGCACCAAGAGGATGTATGCAGAGACCGCTTGAGATGTGCACATGTATTAGGGGGTAAGTAGTTGTAAAACAAGTAGCACAGATACACATAGTGGCTATCTTCAAGACAAGTTTATTAGGCTCTCATTTTTTTCTCTCATTCTTTCTTAAACCTAAAATTCATTTTAAAAGGGAATAGATGATAAAGTATTTCATGGGGAAGACTAGGCTACAATTTAGACGTGGGTATATATACTACAATTGACTTATTTTCTAATAGCAGTAGACCTGACATCTTGAGTAGCAGGAAAAACCAGGACAGAGCAAACATTTGCTTTGGACAAATCACAAAACTAACCAAACAAATCACTACCATCCAGTGATTCTCAGTCCTGACTGCACCCATTCTGGGAGGTGTTAGATGCTTATACCAAAACCGGCACCTACTCTTAGTCTACATGATTGGACCTGGCATCTGCGTTCTTTAAACCTGCCTCAAAAGATTGATTACAGGCAAGTGGAGGCAACAAGACTTAGTTGCCCACACTTTTTCCTTTGCTGTCAGAACCCTGATTTTAAAACCCACTCTGCCCTCTGCTCTACTCATGTGTCTCAAGACAGGCATTCACTCCTAGTGCCCCAGTACCCACAGGCCTGACTGGCCTTGGGGCATTTCAGACCCTCTGCCAATGCCCGGCTCAGGGCTGGCATGTCTAACCCTTGACAGCAACGGGTCCTGAAGATTTGGTAGCAATCCTGGGAAAGTGTTCTCATAGCAAGCCAGGGCCCTGGAACACAGCCAGGCTCTTGTGCTGCATGCAAATGAAGAGGTGCAAGGCCCGGACTGCTACTGGCCACCATCCATGACCACGAGGGCAGCTGGCCTTGGATGCCAAAGCTGTGGGGAAGAATGGGTAAAACCCCAAGTTTCTGGTGACGTTACTGAGCCACAGGATTGAAAAACACTGAAGCCCACTCAACCAGCAGACTTTGTAGACTGTGGTTCAATGTATTTTATTGTTTAAGTCATTTTAAATTGAATTTTGTTATTTGCATCTTAAGACTAACTGGTCCCAGCATAGCATTCTTTAATTCTTAATCTGCAGGGAGCAGAAACCACACAAACACCCACCTGCATGCCTATTTAATCTGTAAATCTCAGACTGTTTTAAAGCATCAATCTTTTAAAAATCAATTTACATCCTGTTATTCTCTTCCACTATTTGAACTAAATTTTATTACAAGGTTTATATTCACTGAATTCACTTCCTTATTTACTCAAAGTTTGTGCTGTAGGCTTTGTCTTGAATGTGTAAGACCATCCGCCGTGCATAGAAGTCCCTGTATTCCTCTGGCAACTCAGCCAGCGCTTTCAGGGCTCTGTCCAGAATCTGTGCAGCTCGCGATGCTGCTATCAGATCTTTGTTTCCATAGGTATCTGTTTTGTCATAGCATTCAGATGGAAGGTGCTTCCAAAAGATATTCACTCCCACTCCAAATTCTTCAGAAATTACATTGTGGAACCATAGAGCTGGAGAAAGTTTTAAAACATAAGTTAAAAACATCAAAATGTCAGGGAAATACCACGAATTTCATGTAGCCAATGTAAGAAATCATCCTGGTAAGCAGAGCAAGCCTTCATTACCACACTCCTGGCTTCTAACAGGATCAATTAACTTCTACGAATTACCAACCAATTTAAAGTGTCAGGGGCAGCACAGCCCCTATTTCTAAAACCTTTGGAAATAGCAATTTTTCCTTTTAACTTGAAAGACATAATCAAGTTATATATGTTTTGTAGCTCTCTAATTTCAGGCTGTGTTTTGTGTTACTTGTTTATACTTTCTGAGTCATACAACCATATAAAAAATGTTTTTTGGGGTTTTTTTTTTTTGTACACAGAACACTTCAATTATTTGAGGAGTATATGTGACCTTTTCTGATTTAGTACAGAACTTTTGTTCTCAAAGATTTCCTGTTCAAGCTCCAAGTTGGTTTTCTAACTTGCTTCAATTTGCATTCATTATAGCTTCCTGTTTTGTATTTCTAATGCAATTATAGTCCTCTTTTTTCAGCCTCTTTACAATAAGTATATAAAACTATAATATTTTGGTGGCAGAGATGAATAAACTATTACATACCTAATTAATTTTTATTTGCACTAGAAAGTACTTTGTTTTCAATGGAGTCTAAGCATTTTCAAAATGTAAGTGCTAGGGGAATACTAAAGTGATCCCATAATATAAGAAACATGGAGTACTAATCACATGAGAAATGTTTAACCTTGTCAGAGGGAGAAAGGAAGGTTTAACTTTTAGAAGCAAACTCATTTTGAGTACTCAAAAAAATGAAAGATTAAAATATTTTGATTTTCAAAAGCAGCCTTCAGACATGGCTTCAATCTTAACTATTCTTTTGGAACCCTTCTTCCTCATTCAATATAACAGAAAGAAAAGGCTAACTATTTTGTTAAATTTAAATGCCAAGATGAGGCTTTTGCTTTTGTTTCAAACTGCGGTATATGCATTATTTCTGGGTTTTTTCTTTTTGCTTAAAAATCAAGTATAGAATAAGGGAAAACTGCATAGCCCTTAACCATGTCCTGAAGATACAAAAACCACAAATTTAAATATGAATTTATAATCTAGAAATGGCCAGGGACTTAGCTCAGTGGTGCCACCACCAGCCTCATAAGTGCAAGGTCCTGAGTTCAATCCCCAGTACCAAATAAATAAATAAATATATAAATAAAATCTAGAAATGTATTTAAGACTAAGACAGTGGTTCTAGTTAAAGTTATCCCATTCTCCTCTTATAATTCAATCCCAAGTACCACCAAAAAATAAAGAGAGAAATCAGCAGCAGTTGTTTATTATCAAGTTTACACACCATATATAACTGTATGTGCTATGTTTTCACACACTGGCTGGGCAGGAGGTTTAACCACTACCGCCATGCATGTGGGACTCATTCACTTGTGCCCTACATCCTGATGGCAGTATCATTACTAGTGACAGGGTTTCTCAGCTCCATTACAATCTTATGAGACCACTGTTGAATACCTGGTCTGTCATAGACTAAATCACTGTTAATGTAGCACATGACTGTATTGACAGACCACTCCCAAAAAGAAGACTGTTCGTTTTCTAAGAGCTTGCCTAAGTATACTTTACACTTCACACACACACACACACACACACACACACACACACACACACACAGAGAGCTGTGTAGAATCATTTTGTACAAGACAATAAATATAGTTTGTACCAAAGAAAAACACATAAAAGATGAGTGACACGACACAGACTTCATTAACAGCACACGACTGAGGTCTAGAAATATTACCAGGAATAAATAACACGTCACCGGCTTCAAGGGAACATTCATGCCTTCTTGCCTTGCAGAATAGTGGATATTTAGCCAAGTCTGGACTATCGATATTCAGCACTTCTGATTTAGAACCTGAAAAGTTTTTAAGCAAAGTTAACATTCTTTCTAAAAAGTAATCATAAATATAAATTTGACCATTCTTTTCTGTTCAATCATTATAGCTGCGCTGTGGGAACTGAGATAGTAGTCAAGTGCCCACTCTTTCTCTATGACCACTGACACCTACAGAATGTAATTATGATCATCTAAAACCTCGTTCTTCCTACGGCTTATCACTGTTTGGATTACACATAAGCAGTTGAGAACACATTAACCCTAATTAGAAGATGTGCCCCAAATTGTTTTTTAATATGAATAAGGAGATGGGGACCTTAGAAATATAACCGTCAATAAAACCATACCTGACAAATATAAATACTGGGCATCACGAGGGCTGAACAGTGCAACACGCTTTTTTCCTGTCACTTGTATTAAGAAGTTATCCATCACCTGAAGACCAAGAAGAACTTATGGGTAAGCAGTACATAAAATTCAAGTAGAATCACTGATGTTCTAAATAATTAATTATAAACCTCATATATTTGTTGAGATAGGGTCTTTTTTGCCTGTGCTGATCCTTTTGCTTTAGCCTCTGAAGTAGCTGGGATGACTGTGTGAGCTGAACGCCTTCTGCCAGCTTGAACCACACTGGTGGTCATGTATGACTGTCCCACACGGCGGATCGTTCCACTGGTAGTAGAAGTGGCAGTCATGCACGGGACAGTCCCATATGTACCACTGGTGGTTCAGGTTAACCGGCAGTGAGCCGTATGAATCATGGCGCCATCACGAACATGTTAAGCCTTATTCTAAGACTTGGCTTATGTGGCCTAAAGCTCTTAGATCATATTCTTACGTTCCAGTGGAAACACAGTATTCCAATATAACTATGCCTTTACTGAGGATACTTCTGTAGTGCTGCCTTAAAATGGGAAGGGCTGGCAAATCCGTTAAGTCTGGAGTTAGGAAACTGTTTGTCCTAACTGTACCATAAACAGACCTTAAGGCCAGTTAAACATACTGGAGATTACCCTGGGCTAATAGTTATTCTACCTGGCCATCAAGGATGCTCTAAAAACATCGAGAACAGACTAAAAGTACTTAGAAAAACTAGGTGTTAGAAAAATAGAACTGTTACAGCCACTGCTAAGCTCATAATTTAACCTTAATTTGGTTATAGGTATCTTGAATATGAAGTTATTTGTATAGGAATAAGACCTAGCAAATTATCCTTTTTTTTTTTTTTTTTTTTTTTTAAATGAGAAAAGGTGTTGCTACATAGTTCAAGCTGACTTTGCGCTCACAATGGAGCCCAAGCAGGTCTCAAACTCTCAATCCTCCTGCCTCAGCTTCCCCAGTGCTATGTTTACAGCTGTGCCCACCCCCTTTCTTAATGGAGCAATCTTTTCTCTTTCTTTCGGTACCAGGGATTGAACTCAGGACCTTATGCTTGTGAGGCAGGCATGGTGCCACTGAACTAAATCCCCAGCCATGGAACAATCTTAACTGTCCCTGTGTATGTATGGGCAGACTTTCTTGACACAGATTGTGAGAAAGGGTAAAAGCCAGAGCCATGTGATTCTCAGCTAAGGGAAATAAGATGCATGCTAGACAAGATAGTCATGATTATTCACATACCATTACTACTGAAGCATTGTAGCACCACATCTTTACTTATGTAAACTTAACTATATAACTAGCATGCCCTTAACTTATTTTTAAGAAAGCATTATATATTATATTCTAACTCAAGGTAAAAGAAACTACTCCAAATTTAAAAGTCATAGACCATGATTAATAATGTATGAATCACATCATTTTAACCTAAAAAAACAATATGCTAAGATTTCGTGTCTGACTCATTTATAGATTTAATGACTATGCTAAAATCTCCCCAAGAGGCCTTTAAATGAATTATAGAATACATGTATAAAACATGTTTGATTTAGAACTTTACAAAAAGTCTTTGGAAACCTATTGGTATTGCTTTAGCTTCCTGTTTCTCTACCTCCTAATACCAAATCATATAAAACAGTAGTCTTAAGTGCTTAGATATACAGTATATTTAACACTCACAACGGGGCTTCAATTTTTATTACTGTCAGACAACTTAAACACCTGTGGTAAATGCTTGACTGTCTCACCAGGTGGCTTTTTATTAATGTTATTAGTAAAGGATAGATAAAAGTAATCAGATACATTTGTACACCAGTGGTACAAGTCGCCCAATAGGACAGTCATGGACCACCAGTGTGGTTCAAGCCAGCAGGAATGTGGTAGGCAAGTAAAATAACCATAGAACACCACAGAATCAATAATCAAGACCAGTATTTACACACATCTTGCTGCCCTACTAATACAGCAGACACTGAATATTCTCAAAGGACATAAATACTAAGCCCTTCAGATTTCTCCAGATTCCTCCATCTGGAAATAGTTCTCCATGGGTTCTGCTTTTCTCTTGACCAGCACCTTGCTGGGTGCCATGCTCGTGTTCTCGCACCCCAAGCTATCCCTTTTCACTTTAACACTTCTCCCTTACCTAGTGCCATGTTTTACACACTAAACAAAACAAAACCCAACCCCACTTCACGAGACATAGATGGTGAGGAATCAAGGCCACAGAGACATGCAGCACAAGAAACACAGCTGTGCCATCAGCTGAGGAGCTCAGCCCTGCATCGCTGCCTTGCACAGCGGCTCTGCTCAAACCAAATGCCTTGGCAAGCTGCAATGTCAAGATTTCTATGGTAGCCGGTGGGAGGAGCTTCTGGATGTTAATCTATAAAGATCTACCATAGCTGTAGAGATCACCCTAATATATCATACATCATAGTGAGTCCAAAGCTGTAATCCAGGTGAACTAATTCGGAAGACACTAGAGAAGAATTGCTCCTCCTTGAAGAATTTTGGAAACTTAATATCTCCTTCTAACAAAGGAAACTGCTTTCTGATATCTGCAACATCCTACATAGACAGAAACATAAAGATAATTAGAGAAAAAATCTGGAAAGAATTTTAATAATAAATACAATATTAGCATAATGCTTTACTTTATCGAAAAGTGCAAAAACCTATAGGCTATTAAGGAAGACAGGGGCAAAACTTCAGTGCTCTAAAGCGCTACGCTGTGCGCATGTGCAAACACAGACCTTTCAGGCAAAGAATAACAAACCCTGCAATGAGACTACAGATTCAGCAGTATCACTGCTGATAAGCTCAGCAGACTTCATTCACAGAAAGATTTTTCTACTTTAAGCAAAACTTATACAACTGTCATGTACTCTAATAAAGCTGTATTTATATAATTCTGAATACATAATTGAGATTATATAATGATCAGGATTTTCATACTTATTTTGGATTATTATTAGCTGAAAGGGCATCTATAAAATAAACAATAGATTACTTTGAATACTAAGATGCTATGGTCCTATCTGAGAACCAAGCAATCAATGGTTACTGATATTCTTATTGGGGGCACGAATGATTGAGAAAAGAATAGAATAAGACATGTTATACATCACTCTGTAAGTATAAAAGTTACAGTACCAGGTAACATCCACTTAAGTCTTTTTTTTTTTTTTCCACCTAAGTCTTAAGCTATTGTTTTAAATATACAATTCTTACCTTTCTAGGGTCTTCTCCAAGTGACCGTAAGTAGTATTTCTCATCCTTAAAACATCCCAAAGACAAATAATGTCAACATTCACTTGAAAATATATGGAAGTAAAGAAAGAAGGAAATAAGCCTTAAAATCTGACCCAGTGAAGTCATCTTTTAAAATGTTCAATTATCTTCCCCTTTCTACTAATGCTCTCTGGTGGCCACGTAGAGAAATGTCTTCACATGCTGCTCCTAACAGTGACTGGGTCCACTAACTGTTCTGAGGGCAGCGCGCAGAGACCACACCTGAATCTATACCACTTCAGACTTTATCCTTGCGCTTGTAAGGCAGGTGGCCGAACCACTGAGCTAAATCCCCAGCCCAACAGGTAGCCTCTTTTAACGGTATCTCAATGCTTAGTAAAAAGCTTCCATGTGTATAGATGCAATTCCAAAAAACTGTTGAAGGCCAATGTTAGACTTACTACTATAGCACAAATGTATGATGAGAGATAAAATATCGTACTTCTGCACATTTAAAACATTAGGAAAACTGCATTTTATCAGGCTGGCCAATGTAAATCTCAAGCCAAATCCTTAAGAGTTGGCTCATGAAAAATCAGAAAAGTTTTATTTCATAGCAGTAAACTTACAGAAATACTTCCAAAGTTATCATTTATACTTCACTGAGAAGCTACACGGAGAACTGTCTGAGCTACAAAAGCACTCACTTGAGGGCTGAGGTGTAGCTCAGTGGAATAGCACTTGCCTGGCATGCACAGGGATCTGGGTTTGATCCCCAACACAGCAAAAACAATAAAAAGCATTCACTGTTGCCTGCCTTTCCCGTGAAAACAAAGACCTGAGCTCTTCTGGGTCCAAGGAGGGGAAATCCAATTCAAGAATTCTGCCCTCTGAAATCAGTAAGGACTTGTAACACAGATTTCAAACTGTATCTTATTTGCCCAAACACACAGTCAAAATCTATGATCATGAATTTAACTGAACTCTCAGCTTCACTTTTTTTTTTTTTTTTTTTGGTT